ACACGCCCCCATCACAGACACTTTTTGTTGGTTGGTTTGTTAATCCTCACCCGAGGATATTTTTTCCATTGATTTTTTTTGAGAGAGTAGAAGTGGGGAGGAGGAGGAGGAGAGAGAGAAACATTGATGTGAAACAGACACATCCACTGGTTGCCTCCCACATGTGCCCCAGCTGGGGCAGGGGATGGAATCGTAGGCCCTTCAGTGCGCAGGCTGACACTCTAACCACTGAGCACACGAGCATGCCAGCCAGGGCCATCACAGGCACTTTTTTTTTTAATATATTTTATTGAATTTTTACAGAGGGGAAGGGAGAGGGATAGAGAGTTAGAAACATCCATGAGAGAGAAACATCCATCAGCTGCCTCCTGCATCCCCCACTGGGGATGTGCCCGCAACCAAGGTACATGCCCCTGGCCGGAATCAAACCTGGGACTCCTCAGTCCACAGGCCGCCGCTCTAGCCACTGAGCCAAACTGGTCAGGGCCATCACAGGCACTTTTGCAACAGCTCCGTATACATGGCACAGCAGCTGTTGTCTTTTCCTTCGTACCTTCTTGTCTTTCCCTTTTCTCCTCTCTTGCCTGAGAGACTAGAAGTGGTACAAAGCGTCCTAAAGGAAGCGGGAAGGCAGGACTGTGTGGGGACTGTGCCCTCCCAGCCCTCACCCCCGCCTTCCCTGGGCTGGGTACTAGTGTGGCTCACAACCAGGGATTGGGGAGCGGGGGGGGGGGGGGGGGGGGAGAGGAAGCGGAGGGGGGGCAGTGCTCACACACCACATGTTATCCTTTGCCTCCCTGGTCCATTTCCTGGATGTTTTGGGGAAAGGGGGGGACTTGGGGGCTTCCTTCCCCGCAGGTCCACACGCACCTTCTGCCACCACAGAAACTACAGAATCTCACTTCTTGTCCCCTGGCTTCTGCAGAGGATGAAACCAGGCATTCCTTGGCCTAAAGAGAAGAGGGAGAGGGATGTGAGAGTAGGAAGCTACAGGGTGGGGCAGGCTGAGGTTTGGGAAATAAGTACATGGGAGCAATCTGGAGGTTCCTGCGGCCAGCTGTGTGAGCCGGGTGCCCACAGCCCCTCTCACGCCCCCAGGCCCAGCGAGGAGATGGTAAAGATGGTGCTGAGCCGGCCCTGCCACCCCGATGACCAGTTCACCACCAGCATCCTGCGGCACTGGTGCATGAAGCACGATGAACTGCTGGCCGAGCACATCAAGTCCCTGCTCATCAAGAACAACAGCCTCCCACGCAAGAGGCAGAGGTGGGAGTGGGCCTTCAGGACACACTGGGCCGAGCTGCTGCTGCCCACCCTCCATCCCGGGGCAGCCCATGCTGTCCCTGCCTGGCTTGTGGGTGACACCTAGTGTCCAGTGGCCCGAAGCTACACGGCACACAGGACCATGTGGCTCCTTCCCCTCTTTTCCTAGTGCCCGGTGGCTGGTCCCTGTTCCAGCTCACCTCCCTGATCCCATCCCAGCACTCTGTCCCCGCCCTGTGTGGCTGTGTCTGTCGTCAGGAGGGACCCTGGTCGGGGAGAGGGCCTTGCACTCCCGGAGCCCTCCCTCGGAGCTCAGGTCTGGTCTCATGGCTTCCTTGCAGCCTGAGGAGCTCCAGCAGCAAGCTGGCCCAGCTGACCCTGGAGCAGATCCTGGAGCACTTGGACAACCTGCGTCTCAACCTGACCAACACCAAGCAGAACTGTATGCGCCAGCCCCCGAGCCCAGCCTGCCTGGTGCTACCTGGCTCAGACCGCCCTGGGCCGGTGGGAGCAGGGCGGGAGGAAGTCACCCCTGGGCACCGCCGGTTAAGCTCCCAGACCTCTGATGTTCTCCCTCCCTGCCGTCCCTCCCTCTCCCTCTAGTTTTTAGCCAGACTCCCATTCTCCAGGCGCTGCAGCATGTCCAGGCGAGCTGTGACGAGGCCCACAAGATGAAGTGAGGCTCCGTGGGAAGCAGTGGGGAAGGCCAAGGGAGGGGCCCGCCGGGGACACGGACTTAATGACCAGGAAGACCAGGGGCGTGAAGAGCCGATGGGAAGGAGGCCGGGGGCCAGAGGCCCGGCTCTGAGAGCTCTCCTGTCCCTCAGGTTCAGCGACCTGTTCTCCCTGGCGGAGGAATACGAGGACTCTTCCACCAAACCCCCCAAGAGCCGGCGAAAAGCGGCTCTCTCCAGCCCCCGGAGTCGAAAGAACGCCACTCAGCCCCCCAACGCGGAGGAAGAGTCCGGCTCCAGCAGCGCCTCGGTGAGAGCCCTCGTCGGCAGGAGGGGCGCGGGGGCAGGTGCAGCGGGCAGCAGCCGTCGGGCTGACGCTCCCCTTCCCTCTCCTCCAGGAGGAAGAAGACACAAAACCGAAGCCCACCAAGCGGAAGCGGAAGGGCTCCTCTGCCGTGGGGTCTGACAGTGACTGAGTCCGTGCCGCCCGCCCGCCCCCAGTGGGACGGCCCTCTCCTCGGTGAAGCGGAGGTCTGACGGCGGGAGACGGAGGGGAGCACCCTCTCCCCATCCCCGGACTCGGCCGGTGGGAAGCCAGATCGCCGCCATGCAGCCTCCGCCCCTCCCCCTCCCCGGGGCCTCCGGCCCGTCGCTGCTGCTCCACCGGCGCTGGGGTCCCGCTGGAGCCGGGGGCTTCGGAACCTGGGCTGCGGGGAGGTCCTCGGGCCCCCGCCCCTCCCCCAGCCCAAAGAGCTGTTTAATCAAGAGGAGGAATGGCAGCGGGGCAGCCGGCCAGACGAGGATGAGAGGAAAGACTGGAGGGTGCGCGTGTCCTTCTGACGATCCCCTTTAGTCTTCATTTGCCCTGAACAGGCAGCTTCTAGTCGCTCTCCATACACTGGTGTGAAACGGGCATTTAACCTGTGACAATGTCGGGCTGCCTGTTTGTTTCCCTGGGGCAGATGCCACAAGCCTCAGGAAGGAACCTGAGAGGGAGGCACAGCCCCACCTGGTGTGCCCTGGAGGCACCTCACGCTGGGCCGGAGCCCTAAGGAGTCTCGGAGACGTGCCCCCCAGAACTGTCAAAGGTCCCATTTCCTTGGTTGTCTTCTTTGGGTTTTTTGGTGGGGTTTTCTTTGGCAGAGATAATCGTGTTTTAAAAGCCGTTTTTAAATGACAATAAAACAAGCCAGAACCTCTTTTGTGCTGGAGTTGCCGCCCCCATGTACCCTGTGCATGTACAGGTGGCCTGTTTAATTGGCACCCCTCCTGTGACTTCATATTTTCCCCGTTCCCTTCCTGTCCTCCCCCCCCCTTTTTTTAAATATTTTTTAAAAATATATTTTATTGATTTTTTACAGAGGAAGAGAGAGCAATAGACAGAAACATCGATCAGCTAGAAACGTCTATCAGCCGCCTCCTGCACACCCCCCACTGGGGATGTGCCCGCAGCCGAGGTACATCCCCTTGACTGGAATCAAACCTGGGACCCTTCAGTCTGCAGGCCGACGCTCTATCCACTGAGCCAAACCAGTCAGGACTTAAAAATATTTTTAAAATTGATTTCAGAGAGGAAGGGAGAGGGAGATAGAAACATCAATGATGAGAGAGAATCATTGATTGGCTGCCTCCTGCATGCCCCCTCCTGGGGATGGAGCCGGAAACCAGGCGTGTACCCTGACCAGGAATTGAACCGTGACCTCCTGGATCATATACATAGGCAGACGCTCAACCACTGAGCCACACCAGCCAGGCTGTCCTCCCCTCTTCTTGTCTGAAGCAGAGAAGACTTGGCTTTGTCCCCCATCTTCTGGCTGCCACTGGCAGTGAAGGCCAGGCAGTCAGCCGAGATCTGTCCTTAACCACCTCAAGTGGAGACTCCCAGAAGCTGGTATTTGTCATATTCCATTTAGTAAGGCCGAATGCCAACTACGGGCATGCTCCCAACTCAGATCCTGGGCACGTGGAGAGTTCTGTTACCAGGGAGGGGGCTCCTCCTTGGCTGTGCTGTTCCCCTCCTGTCAGGGCGGTTGGTGGCGAGCGGGAGAGGAGTGGAGTTCAGGCTGACTGCACGTTGCTAAACCCGAAAGCTTGTCTCAGGTTCTCCCCTCCTTCAGAGCTGCTACCCCTTCCTTTGCAAGTCTGAACCGCCAGGGGCCTCTTTTCCTTCCTCTCTCCTTCCCCAGTTTTCTCTGCCCCAATTAAAACCAGGATGGAGCGCATTCACTGGCTGGCCCCAGTTATTGTACCCTTGCCCAAAGGGAGGGGCCTCCGCCATAGCCCCTCCGGAAATCTGGCGGGCTGGGCCTCCACCTTTCCCCTACTTAACTTCCAGCTCCCACCCATCCCCTGGGGTTGCTGCTGCTGCTGGCAGCTGGAGGGAGGGCATGGGTCTGGCTACCTTGCCGGGACTTGCAGCACCAAACAGGCAAGGGGCCGAGTCCTTCAGTCTTTTGGGAGAGAAGAGAGGCACCCTTCCATCACGAGTGCGAATGAGAGAAGAGGGAGCGGTGGACTTTGATCCAAACGTCCTGGTGCTCAGACCTGGACGCCAAAGTCCAGCCAGATGCCTAAACCGCCCTTGAGAAGGGACCTAAAATGAGACAACCCTGGGATTGAGGGAAGGTGTGAGCACCGCCCAGGACCTGGGGAGGTGCAGGCGAGTCGCCTGGAAGGAGCGAGTCCAGGGCGGAGCGTAGGGGTGGGGAGGCCGGGAGTGCGGGGGCCGGCCCCCACCTCCGCCCCTGCTCGCCTCC